AAAATCTGTGCAGTCATACCAGCATTTTTGTTTCTGACAATTAAATTGCCTTCAGCTAAAAAGATGGGCCACTTACAATATGCTAGCTCCCTATTTTCCCGGTAATGGGAGACTATGTAAAGACACCAGGCTAGGTGTCAAATTCACTTTTGGTCCTTCACTGACATGGGGCTGGCCTTGTGATCCTATGACATGAGCTGTTACAGAGCAGCTAGTAAGAATCCCTAAAGCTACAGGATCATTCTGGTGGGCTCTTCATGGGAGAGCTTGATCGACCATTCTTAGATGCCTGAACCTTAGCTTTCTTAGGTTTACAGAATTTATTGACTTATTTTTTATATCCATAGAAGAGGAATCTCTTCATGCCAAGGAATAAGACAAGTGAAAGATATTAAAAGGGATAAATGTTAGGTAAGGAAAACTTTAAGAAGTGGGGTCTATAGGGAGGTTGTCTGGGTCACTGGAGAGTGGGCCTCAGTGGCCCTTTGACTTCCTGTTAATGGTGTGAGCAGGCCTTTCCCTTCCAGGCACTCTCACCATGATGGACTATTTCACCACAGAACAATGGAGACAGCAGATCATGGGCTGAAACTTCCCCAACTGGCATAAAATTGTTTTGGACTCCATAAGTTTATTTTTTCAGGCATTTTGTAATAGTGGTGGGACCATGACTAATATAGTGTCCTTGACACTGAGGATGCATGCTAAGGTAACTCTTGAGTAAGCAGCTCAGTGCCTGCTCAGCTCCTCTTGTGCTTGGCTCCTCCCTAAGGACCAACAGGAATTAGAACTAATTATTCCACCTGCTTTTTTTCCTAACCAGGAGCTCTGGGGCTCTCCCTGAGTCACCTTGCTTATTTATCTGGAGCTTAAGGATAGACAGAGAAAGTTCACTCTTCTGAATGTCCAGTTATTTTTTAGTTCTTGATGCTCTTAATGGAAATCTAAGGACTCAGAGAGGTGGGTAATCAGGTGCCTGAGAAAACCTAGGACTGATAGAGTTAAGTGGGAGTTTGATGAGCAAGGTGTGTCTCTGTGTCTATATATGTGTCTTACATTTGTACTCTACATAATGTGTTTATTTATAATAAATATGTATATTTATAAATATGTATGTATAAATATATAAATATGTATATTTATAAGCAAAGTGGCATTTTATTGCTTGTAAAATGTAGGTATATTCACTCTTTGTGAGTCTTGCATGTGTGAGTGCATATGTATGATATGTAATTGACTAGTTTCAACTAGTTTTTATCTCTCTGGGCCCAGCACACACAAACCTAAATCAGGCCCTCAAGAGTAGGTTATTTGTATGTGTTTGGGATCTCCAAATTAGTCCATTTGATCTAAAATATTTGCCATGCTCTCATTCTGTTGACTCCTTTGTTTTCATGTATGTTCAGATACATTTAAGTAGAGAATACTGAAGGTTTGAAGAAGACAATATGTATTCAGCAATCTGAAGACATTTTATGTAGTTGCTTGTGTGTGTGTGTGTGTGTGTGTGTGTGTGGCCATTTGAATTATTTGCAGGTGATGTTTACATGCTATATCTATGAGTGAAAGGGGCTCAGAGTTTCACTGACTGAATAGCTTCATGTATGTTAGGCACAATTCAGTGGGAACTGGGACTGGTATTCTGAGTGTAGTGCATGTGTACACAGTGTGTATTGTTTGTTTGAAGAAGAGAAAAGGCACACCTATGTAGTTACTATATTTTTGTATGGCTTTTACATGATGTATTTGTACTTGCATTTTGTTTGTCTTGTGTGTGTGTGTGTGTGTGTGTGTGTGTGTGTGTGTGGTCTATATTCAGGGTATGAACTTATTCCTCAGAGATGTGATTTTTATGTGTTAATGTTTTGGTTGTTGTTGTGTGTGTATGTGTACAAGTGAGCATATGTGTGTGTGTATTCCTATGAGATGTGATTTTTATTTTTGTTGAATGTGTTGTTTGCTTTGAGTTTTGGTAGTTTTGTGCGTCTGTGTGTGAGTGCATGTGTGCTCATGTGTATGTCCATATCAAGCTTATTCTTTTGAGATGTGTTTTTTGTGTATTGTTGAACGTGCTGAGTTGATTCTAAAACAGCTATGGCTGTGAGAGTTTGTCATGTGTTGTATGGAAAATCTTGTATATTAGTTATGTATTTTGTTATTATGACTCTTTGAATACCTTTCCTTCTTTAGGGAAACTATAACTGGTAAGAAATCACAAATCAGCAACTCAAGTGTCTCATGTATATGTACATTTACCATGCATATTTGTTTCATCCATGTGTTCTAGAGGATCTGGTTGGTCCCTGAAAAGTCCAGGATGTCCTTGATGGTATCTCAACCACTGTGACTCTGCATTGGGCAGTCAGGCTCACATGTATTTCATTACCACACGGCTCTAACACAACTGGTAAGAGTTCAGTATAACCATAACTGGGTGCAATCCTTAAAAATCCTAAAATAAAGCCATTATTTGTGGCTTTAGAGAGTGAGTTCAACTTTCTCAGATACAGAGTCCTCATTATTCAAGGATAATAACCAGCCCAACTTTACAGAAATATTCTGAAGAATAAGCAAGCCAGTATATATAAACTATTCAGTAGTGTGTTTGGCATATGATGACCAATAAAAATAAATTACTATTATGTTTCCCTAAATCCAGTGTTTGGGTGGTGGAAGTTCATTAATTCACTGTTAAGTATGGAAAGAACATGTAGAAAATGGAGAAGACTGCCTCATTCACCTTGCTCTTCTTCCTCAAGGTCACAGGCTAGTTCCTTCCTACAAATTCTTATGCATAGTCAGGTTTCAGTGTTCTTGGGTGGCCTTACTTTGGCTTCCCAAGGTGATACAGAATCTGTCAGTGGGCAGCCAGATCTCTGCATTGAAATCTGGCCACCATCTTCCTTGGGGGCCATGCGCTGGTGAAGGTGCAAGTTCCTACAGGATGACTTGCTGCAATGCCCTGTGTACGATGTGTAAGCTCTCACAACATCTGACTCCATGGTCAAGTTCAATTTATTTGTCTATTTCTGTTTCTCTCCCACACCCATCTCTTTCTCTCTGTGTGTATATGTGTGTGAATGTACAGATGCCACGGAGTGAATGTGCAGGTCAGAGGACAACTTGGAGTTGGTGCTCTTGTTCCACCACATGGATTTCAAGGATTGAACTCAGGCCACCAGGTTTTGTGACAAGTTCATTTTCCCACTAAATTAGTGGTTCTCAACCTTCCTAGTGCTGTAACCCTTTAATACAGTTCCTCATGTTATGGAGCATTTTGTTAAGTGTCTTGCAGCCATTTTAGATTCCTCTGTTGAGAGTCCTATGTTTAGATCTGCACCCCATTTTTTATTGGGTTATTTGTCCATTTGATGACCAGTTTCTTGAGTTCTTTGTATATTTTGGAGATCAGACCTCTGTCTGATGTGGAGTTGGTGAAGATCTTTATCCATTCTGTAGGCTGCTGTTTTTGGTAAACAATACCATGTCCTTTGCTTTAAAGAAGCTTCTCAGTTTCAGAAGGTCCCATTTATTGTTTCTCTCAGTGTCTGAGTTTCTGGGGTTATAATTAGGAAGTGATCTCTTTTGTCAGTGCATTCAAGTGTACTTCTCACTTTGTCTTCTATGAAGTTCAGTGTTGTTAGTTTTATGCTGAGGTCTTTGATCTATTTGGACTTGAGTTTTGTGCATGGTGATAGATATGGATCTATCTTCATTTTATACATGTTGTTATCCAGTTTTGCCAGCACCATTTGTTAAATATGCTTTCTTTTTTCCTTTTTATACTTTTTTTTACTTCTTTGTCAAAAATCAGGAGTTCACAAGTGTGTGGATTGATATCCAAGTCTTCAGTTTGGTTCAATTGGTCCTCCTGTCTGCTTTTATGCCAATGTCAGGCTATTCTCAGTACTGTAGCTCTGTAGTAGAGTTTGAAGTTGGGGATGGTGATGTCTCCAGATGTCTCTTTATTGTACAGGATTGTTTTGGATATCCTGAGTTTTTTGCTTTTGTTAGGAATGATTAAGAGCAGGGTTTCTGCCCATCAGTTCATTGTGATTTTACCTGGAACACTTATTGCACACTTACATGCTCTGACTTTATTTCTTCACTGTCAAACTTCAATGTTAGGACATGGAAAGGACTGCATTGAAAAATGTGTGTGAAAAACATTGAGATCAGTATCTGGTACTAAATTAATTTTGGCTTGGAAACCAGATAAATACTTTGGTGACAGGTAATTTGGAAGAATCTGCTTGATATGAAGGCACAAACTCCTACACAGAGACCTGGCTATTTGTTCGCAAATGAGTGATGGGGTTACTTAAAAGGTGACTCTTTTTAAGTAACTATGGATTAATCAAAGTGCTAGTAACCTTAGTTTATCTGGAAAGACATTTCATGAATGAGGTGTTATGTGTCATTGGAGTTAGAATAGGAGATATTTTTTCATTATTTATGAAGCAAAAATTAGAAAAAAAATCAACAGAAGCATAGCTGGAATTCAGATGAGTGGAAGAGAGAATAGTGGTGGGCATGGGGGAGTATGGAGGTGAACACGACACATGGCATACTTGAATGAAAATATCTTTATGAAATCATCACTATGTTACAATGAATATTTGTAAATAAACAGTTGTAAAAAGAAAACAGAAATAAATTTCTATTTTAAAACAAGCAACAAACCTCCATAATATAAATCCAGATGAGATAACATTCACAAATGCTGTGAAGCATAAAATAGAATATGAATGTGAGGATTCTTACTATTATAGTCCAAATAAGAAAGTGACATTCAATATCAATTGGGTTCTGCCAAAATAAGTTACTTTTTAGAGTAAATAAAAACTAACCTGTGAAAAATTATCCAAATGCACATTCAGAATAATTACTTGCATCTAAAGTAAAGAAGAATCACATATAAAATATCATTGTAATAATGTGAAGGCCATATTTACTGGTGTTTTATTCTTTTTCTAACTCCCAACAGAGGCAGAAACAGCATGAGGAGAGAGAACCAGAGCAGTGTGTCCAAGTTCCTCCTTCTGGGGCTCCCCATCAGACAAGAACAGCAGAGTGTCTTCTTCACCCTGTTCCTGGCCATGTACCTGACCACAGTGCTGGGGAACCTGCTCATCATCCTTCTCATCAGGCTGGACTCTCACCTCCACACCCCCATGTACTTCTTCCTCAGCCACTTGGCCTTCTCTGACATCTCCCTTTCATCCATTACAGTTCCCAAAATGCTGATAAATATTCAGGCTCAGCAACATTCCATCTCCTACAATGGATGCATCTCTCAGATGTATTTTTTGTTCTCTTTGGCTGTCTGGATAATTTCCTTCTTGCAGTGATGGCCTATGACAGGTATGTGGCCATTTGTCATCCACTGCACTACATCACTGTCATGAGGAAGGAAGTCTGTATCTGCTTAGTTGCTGGGTCCTGGTTGTTCTGTTGTGTCCATGCCCTGCTGCATACCCTCCTCTTGATCCAATTATCCTTCTGTTCCAATAATACCATCCCCAACTTCTTCTGTGACCTCACTGCCCTCCTGAGGTTGAGTTGTTCAGACATCTCCCTCAATAAGCTAGTTATCTTCACTGAGGGGGGATTACTTTTCATCCTGCCTCTGAGTAGCATCCTGGGCTCTTATATTCACATAGGGAGAACTGTCCTGAGGGACCCTTCAACAAAGAGATTCTTTAAAACCTTCTCTACCTGTGGCTCCCATCTCTTTGTGGTATCTTTATACTATGGGACACTTGCAGGAGTTTACTTTTTCTCTTCATTTCAGAATGCCAGTGACAAAGACATAGTTGCTTCTGTAATTTACACAGTAGTCACACCCTTGCTGAACCCTTTCATCTACAGCCTGAGAAACAGAGATATAAAACAGGCGCTAGAAGTATTTGTTACTAGGGCCAAGTCCTTTAAGTGACACCCATTATATTTATTATGAATACTTTGAGACATGTTTCCTAAAATTATTGTGTGTTTGATAATTCTGTGTTTAATATGATATGCATTACTTTGTTTTGTGCAGGATTTTCTGTTTTTGTTGGTTGTTTAATGCAGTTCTGGGGTTTTTCCCAGGTACTCACTAATGGAAGGCTGCATCCCTAGTCCTGCACAATGTTCTCAAGATGTCAATTGGATCAAAGTTTGGTCTACTCTATCATTAATCTCTGACTGTTCATCATCCTATATAATAGCATTATGATCTATTTATGGTGGGTTGACACACATAATGTGGTATCCTGAAACAGGGGTATATAGACTTCATGCTGTGTGTATGCATTTCTTCCCAACTGTACAGTTAGGACATCACTACTAGCTTGAAATCAGACATCGTAGGAATGACTACACTATGAAAATTGGACAGTTCTGCAAACACTTATTATTCAGTAAGCACACATCATAGCATTTATAATTGGATGATAATTTATTTAATCTTTGCTGATAGCCTGTCTTGTCATCTCTACTTCTCATAGTAGCATAAGGATGCCTACTTCTTATGTGTCAGTGAATATTTGGTATTTTTTTTATCAGTAATTTTACTTTTCAACATCTTTACATGTGTGATGTATCCATTTAAATAATACAAAATCAAAATTTTCTATGTTTATATATTTTACATAAACTTTTAAACATAAAGTTATGCACTTTGCATTCTAGAGAATTCAACTATCAATATTTAATGCAACTGTCATACTTTAAGATTTATATTTTCCACATTTCTATTTTCTGTTTGAGATATTTATCTTAATGTTTCTTTGAATTTTTATTATATATTTCTATTATTCCCTTTTTCCTACTAACTAGTTTTGAAGTTTTATTTGTTGGTTTGTTTGTTTGATACAAAGTCTCACTATGTAGCCCTAACTTTCTTGGCACCCACTACATAGATCAGGATGGCTTTGACTCACAGAGATCCACCTGCCTCTGTCTCACCAGTGCTGGTATTGAAAGTGTGCACCACCAAGCTCGTCTTCTTCACTCACATGTTAATAACATGATATATTCTATTGTTTTGTGATTTGTAAAAACATTGTGACTTTCCTTTTTGTCAAAAAATTTTAAATTGAGGCACCATATGAATAAGATAATATAGCATTTACTGCTTTAACCATTTGAGGTGTATGAATTACCACTATAATTGTCCAATTCTCAGAACTTACAAGGAAAATATAATCTTTATTGGAGATATATTCAATGGTTTTGGTGTTTACATATTTTACTCATGTATATTATTTTCTTGAAAACATATTCCGGGAACTAGAGAGTTAGCCTGATGGTTAAAAAGTACTGGCTACTCTTCTAGTGGACCCAGTTTTGATTTCCAGAACCCAGATAGTGGCTCACAAATGCCTGTAACCCCAGTTACAGGGGTCCAGTGTCCTCTTTTGGCTTTAACACTCACAAGTGATGCACATTGGGCACAGATATATACACAAGCACTGTGGTCCAGCCACAGTCTGGGTTCAGGTCCTGACATGGGGAAGAGGCATCAGTGTGAATAAATGCATTGTCTGACACCAGATGAATTTCAACAAGTGGTAGACTCTGCATAGCTCCAGCCTTCTTTATTTATACATAAAATACAAACATGTTTTTCCATTTAACAAACAAATTTTCCTATTCTCCAATGTTCACCTCTCACAAAAACAAATATGTCAAGTATATTTTCTCCCAACTTTTACATCAAAACATTTTTAAACCCAAAACTACGACTTTTCTTTTTTCTAGAAGGTTTTTTAAAATTGATTGTTTTTGAGCTCTACATTTTTTTTCTGCTCCCCACCCCTGCCTCTTCTTACCCCTTCAACCCTCTCCCAAGGTCTCCCATGCTTCCAATACACTCAGGAGATCTTGTCTTTCTTTTTTCCACTTCCCATGTAGATTAGATTTATGTATATCACGCTTAGTTGTCTAGGTTCTCGGGATTGTGATTTGTGATCTGGTTTTCTTTGCTTTATGTTTTAAAACCATATATGAGTGAGTACATGTGATAATTGTCTTTCTGGATTTGGGTAACCTCACTCAAAATGATGTCCATTTGCTGCAAAATTCAAGATGTTGTTATTTTTTCTGCTGTGTAGTACTCCACTGTGTACATGTACCACATTTTTCCTATCTATTCTTCAGTTGAAAGGCATTTAGGTTATTTCTAGATTCTGGCTATGTTAAACAATGCTGCTATGAACATAGTTGAGTACATGTCCTTGTGGCACGATTGAGTATCCTTTGGATATATACCAAAAAATAGTATTGCTGAGTCCTGAGGAAAGCTGTTTCCTAATTTTTTTTTTGAGTAATCACCATACTGATATCCAAAAGGATCCCACCAGCAATGCAGGAGTGTTACTTTTTCCCCACAACCTCTCCAGCATAAGTTGTCATCAGTGTTTTTAATCTTGGCCATTCTTACAGGTATTAGACAGAATCTCAGAGTTGTGTTGATTTGCATTTCTCTGATGACTAAGGATGCTGAGTATTTCCTTAAGTGTCTTTCAGCCATTTTAGATTCCTCTGTTGAGAGCTCTCTGTTTAGGTCTGTACCACATTTTTTTATTGTGTTTTTTTTACGACCAATTTTTGGAGTTCTTTGTGTATTTTGGAGATCAGACCTCTGTCTGATGTGGGGTTAATGAAGATCTTTTCCCATTCTGTAGACTGTCATTTTGTCTTGTTGACTATGTTCTTTGCTTTACAGAAGCTTCTCAGTTCAGGAGGTTCCATTTTTTAATTGTTTCTCTCAGTGTCTGTGCTGCTGGGCTTATATTTAGGAAGTGGTCTCCTATGCCAATGTGTTCAAATGTACTTACCGCTTTCTCTTCTATGAGGTTCAGTGTGGTTGGCTTTATGTTGAGGTTTTTGATTCATTTGTACTTGATTTTTGTGCATGGTGATAGACATGGATCCATTTTCATTCTCCTATGTATTGATATCTAGTTATGCCAGCACCATTTGTTAAATATGCTTTGTTTTTCCATTTTATATTTTTTGCTTCTTTGTCTAAAATCAGTGTTGTGTAAGTGTGTGAATTTATATCTGGGCCTTCAATTCGGTTTCATTGGTCCTCTTGTCTGTTTTTATGCCAATATCAGGCAGTTTTAAGTACTGTAGCTTTGTAGTAGAGTTTGAAGTTAGGAATTGTGATGCCTCCAGAAGTTCCTTTATTGTGCAGGATTGTTTTGGCTATACTGGGTGTTTTGCTTTTCCATATGAAGTTGAGTACTGTTCTTTTGAGGTCTGTAACAAATTTTGTTGGGATTTTGATTGACATTGTGTTGAATCTGTAGATTGCTTTTGGCAAGATTGCCATTTTTACTATATTAATTCTACCTACCCAAGAGCATGGGAGATCTTTTTATTCTTTTTATTTTCTGGTGTCTTAATTTCTCTCTTCAAAGATTTTAACGTTCTTGTCATACGGGTTTTCCATTTCTTTGTTTAGAGTTACTACAAGCTATTTTATGCTATTTATGGCTATTGTGAAGGGTGATGTTTCTCTGATTTCTTTATCAACCCATTTATCATCTGTGTAAATGAGGGCTACTTATTTTTTTGAGTTAATCTTGTATCCTGCTACACTACTGAAAGTGTTTGTAAGTTGTAGAAGCTCCTTGGTAGAATTTTTGGGATCACTTACGTAAACTATCATATCATCAACAAATAGTGAGAGTTTGACTTCTTCTTTTCTGATTTTTAGCTGCTTGATCTTCTTTTGTTGTCTGATTACTCTAGCTAGGACCTCAAGAACTATATAAAAAATGTGGAGAGAGGGAACAACCTTGTCTTGTTTCTGATTTCTGTTGGATCGCTGTGAGTTTCTCTCCATTTAATTTGATGTTGGCTGTTGGCTTGCTGTATATTGCCTTTATTATGTTTAGGTATGTTCCTTGTATCCCTATTCTCTCCAAGATCTTTATCATGAAGGAATATTGTGTTTTTGAAAGCTTTTTCAGCATCTAATGAGATGATCATGTGGTTTTTATTTTTCAGTTTGTTTATATGGTGTATTACATTGACAGATTTTCATATGTTGAACCATTCCTACATCCCTGGAATGAAGCTGACTTGATCATGATGGATTGTTAAAGGAACAGCGGGCTGCGTTCCCCCCTGGATCCCAGCTAGCTTACCTCGAAATATTTACATGGAAACTGTATTCATTTAAACACTGTCTGGACCATTAACTGTAGCCTCTTATTGGCTAACTCTTACATATTTGTACAACCCATTTTTAATAATCTGTATCTCACTACAAGGTTGTGGCTTACCGGAAAAGATTCAGCATGTCTGACCTGGTAGCTTTATGGTGGTGGCTCTCTCTTGTGGTCATCGCCCGCGAAGTCTGCATCACCACCCTCCCTGTATGGACCATAACTCCATACCACCATGTGCCTGAGGCAAGGTCTCTAGAGGTGAAACACAAGACGTACACACACATAGAGAGTTCGGGTCATCCGCTAAGAGGTGAATGCCAAATTTTATTCAGAATTTGCCAGGTTAAATACTCTAACCCAGAGGAGAGAAGGAGCCCCTCCCAGCCAGGTGTGAGACCAAGGCAGGGGGTACTGAGCTGGGAACCCTGACAGACAGATAGGAGGAGATTCAGGGCACCTGTGAGAACCCTCCTTAGCAGGTGAAATTACCATACCAAAGACAGAAACAAGGTTCTGAACTAATCCCCTCCAGCTGGCAGAGGAAGCTAGGCTGGTTAGCTTAAACAGTTCTTGCATCCTGTGCTTGTCCTCCAGGAACAGGGAAGACAGGGCCTTATACTCTCTGACCCAGCTTTCTTCCTCCCAGAATTCAGTTCTGTCTACCCTGCCTACCTATCTTCTGACCTACCAGGGCAAGCAGTTTCTTTACTAATTAAACAATGAAAGCAACAGATAGATAGAATACCCTCCTACATCAATGGATGATTTT